GACATGAATTTCGACTAAAAAATCGCTGTTCATATTTGAATGCCAGATTAATATAGAGGGAAAACCATGAAGAAAACGCCAAACTTCGTGAAAATCGGAAAAGATTTGACCGAGTTATGGGGGTGGTAATTTTGGACCCATGTCTATATACGAATCTTGGGGTAAGATTTGGACATGAATTTCGACTAAAAAATCAGTGTCGAGATTTGAATGCCAGATTAATCTAGAGGGAAAACCATGAAGAAAACGCCAAACTTCGTGAAAATCGGATGAGATTTGACCGAGTTATGGGGGTGGTAAGTTTTGACCCATGTCTATATACGAATCTTGGGGTAAGATTTGGGCATGAATTTCGATTAAAAAATCGGTGTCGAGATTTTAATGCCAGATTAATCTAGAGGGAAAACCATGAAGAAAACGCCAAATTTCGTGAAAATCGGATGAGATTTGACCGAGTTATGGGGGTGGTAAGTTTTGACCCATGTCTATATACGAATCTTGGGGTAAGATTTGGACTTAAATTTCGACTAAAAAATCGGTGTCGAGATTTGAATGCCAGATTAATCTAGAGGAAAAACAAGGTAGAAAACGCCAAACTTCGTAAAAATCGGATGAGATTTGACCGAGTTATGGGGGTGGTAATTTTTGACCCATGTCTATATACGAATCTTGGGGTAAATTATGGACATGAATTTCGACTAAAAAATCGCTGTTCATATTTGAATGCCAGATTAATCTAGAGGGAAAACCATGAAGAAAACGCCAAACTTCGTGAAAATCGGAAAAGATTTGACCGAGTTATGGGGGTGGTAATTTTTGACCCATGTCTATATACGAATCTTGGGGTAAGATTTGGACATGAATTTCGATAAAAAAATCGGTGTCGAGATTTTAATGCCAGATTAATCTAGAGGGAAAACCATGAAGAAAACGCCAAATTTCGTGAAAATCGGATGAGATTTGACCGAGTTATGGGGGTGGTAAGTTTTGACCCATGTCTATATACGAATCTTGGGGTAAAATTTGGACATGAATTTCGACTAAAAAATCGGTGTCCAGATTTGAATGCCAGATTAATCTAGAGGGAAAACCATGTAGAAAACGCCAAACTTCGTGAAAATCGGATGAGATTTGACCGAGTTATGGGGGTGGTAAGTTTTGACCCATGTCTATATACGAATCTTGGGGTAAAATTTGGACATGAATTTCGACTAAAAAATCGGTGTCCAGATTTGAATGCCAGATTAATCTAGAGGGAAAACCATGTAGAAAACGCCAAACTTCGTGAAAATCGGATGAGATTTGACCGAGTTATGGGGGTGGTAAGTTTTGACCCATGTCTATATACGAATCTTGGGGTAAGATTTGGACATGAATTTCGACTAAAAAATCGGTGTCGAGATTTGAATGCCAGATTAATCTAGAGGGAAAACCATGAAGAAAACGCCAAACTTCGTGAAAATCGGATAAGATTTGGCCGAGATATGGAGGTGGTAATTTTTGACCCATGTCTATATACGAATCTTTGGGTAAGATTTGGACATGAATTTCGACTAAAAAATCGGTGTCGAGATTTGAATGCCAGAATAATCTAAAGGGAAAACCATAAAGGAAAAGCCAAACTTCGTGAAAATCGGATGAGATTTGACCGAGTTATGGGGGTGGCAATTTTTGACCCATGTCTATATACGAATCTTTGGGTAAGATTTGGACATGAATTTCGACTAAAAATCGGTGTCGAGATTTGAATGCCAGATTAATCTAGAGGGAAAACCATGAAGAAAACGCCAAACTTCGTGAAAATCGGATGAGATTTGACCGAGTTATGGGGGTGGCAATTTTTGACCCATGTCTATATACGAATCTTTGGGTAAGATTTGGACATGAATTTCGACCAAAAATTCGGTGTCGAGATTTGAATGCCAGAATAATCTAAAGGGAAACCCATAAAGGAAAAGCCACACTTCGTGAAAATCGGATGAGATTTGACCGAGTTATGGGGGTGGCAATTTTTGACCCATGTCTGTATACGAATCTTGGGGTAAAATTTGGACATGAATTTAGACTAAAAATCGGTGTCGAGATTTGAATGCCAGATTAATCTAGAGGGAAAACCATGAAGAAAACGCCAAACTTCGTGAAAATCGGATGAGATTTGACCGAGTTATGGGGGTGGTAATTTTTGACCCATGTCTGTATACGAATCTTGGGGTAAAATTTGGACATGAATTTCGACTAAAAATCGGTGTCGAGATTTGAATGCCAGATTAATCTAGAGGGAAAACCATGAAGAAAACGCCAAACTTCGTGAAAATCGGATGAGATTTGACCGAGTTATGGGGGTGGTAAGTTTTGACCCATGTCTATATACGAATCTTGGGGTAAGATTTGGACATGAATTTCGACTAAAAAATCGGTGCCCAGATTTGAATGCCAAATTAATCTAGAGGGAAAACCATGTAGAAAACGCCAAACTTCGTGTAAATCGGATAAGATTTGACGGAGTTATGGGGATGGTAATTTTTGACCCATGTCTGTATACGAATCTTGGGGTAAAATTTGGACATGAATTTCGACTAAAAATCGGTGTCGAGATTTGAATGCCAGATTAATCTAGAGGGAAAACCATGAAGAAAACGCCAAACTTCGTGAAAATCGGATAAGATTTGGCCGAGATATGGAGGTGGTAATTTTTGACCCATGTCTATATACGAATCTTGGGGTAAGCTTGGTACTGAATTTCGACTAAAAAATCGGTGTTCAGATTTGAATGCCAGATTAATCTAGAGGTAAAACCATGAAGAAAAAGCCAAACTTCGTGTAAATCGGATAAGATTTGACGGAGTTATGGGGATGGTAATTTTTGACCCATGTCTGTATACGAATCTTGGGGTAAAATTTGGACATGAATTTCGACTAAAAATCGGTGTCGAGATTTGAATGCCAGATTAATCTAGAGGGAAAACCATGAAGAAAACGCCAAACTTCGTGAAAATCGGATGAGATTTGACCGAGTTATGGGGGTGGTAAGTTTTGACCCATGTCTATATACGAATCTTGGGGTAAGATTTGGACATGAATTTCGACTAAAAAATCGGTGCCCAGATTTGAATGCCAAATTAATCTAGAGGGAAAACCATGTAGAAAACGCCAAACTTCGTAAAAATCGGATGAGATTTGACCGAGTTATGGGGGTGCTAATTTTTGACCCATGTCTATATACGAATCTTGGGGTAAGATTTGGACATGAATTTCGACTAAAAAATCGGTGTCGAGATTTGAATGCCAGATTAATCTAGAGGGAAAACCATGAAGAAAACGCCAAACTTCGTGAAAATCGGATAAGATTTGGCCGAGATATGGAGGTGGTAATTTTTGACCCATGTCTATATACGAATCTTGGGGTAAGCTTGGAACTGAATTTCGACTAAAAAATCGGTGTTCAGATTTGAATGCCAGATTAATCTAGAGGTAAAACCATGAAGAAAAAGCCAAACTTCGTGTAAATCGGATAAGATTTGACGGAGTTATGGGGATGGTAATTTTTGACCATGTCTGTATACGAATCTTGGGGTAAAATGTGGACATGAATTTCGACTAAAAAATCGGTGTCGAGATTTGAATGCCAGATTAATCTAGAGGGAAAACCATGAAGAAAACGCCAAACTTCGTGAAAATCGGATAAGATTTGGCCGAGATATGGAGGTGGTAATTTTTGACCCATGTCTATATACGAATCTTGGGGTAAGATTTGGACATGAATTTCGATTAAAAATCGGTGTCGAGACTTGAATGCCAGATTAATCTAGAGGGAAAACCATTAAGAAAACGCCAAACTTCGTGCAAATCGGATGAGATTTGACCGAGTTATGGGGGTGGTAATTTTTGACCCATGTCTATATACGAATATTGGGGTAAGATTTGGACTTAAATTTCGAATAAAAAATCGGTGTTCAGATTTGAATGCCAGATTAATCTAGAGGGAAAACCATGAAGAAAACGCCGAACTTCGTGAAAATCGGATAAGATTTGGGCGAGATATGGAGGTGGTAATTTTTGACCCATGTCTATATACGAATCTTGGGGTAAGATTTGGACATGAATTTCGATTAAAAAATCGGTGTCGAGATTTGAATTCCAGATTAATCTAGAGGAAAAACCATGAAGAAAACGCCAAGCTTCGTGAAAATCGGATGAGGTTTGACCGAGTTATGGGGGTGGTAATTTTTGACCCATGTCTATATACGAATCTTGGGGTAAGATTTGGACTTAAATTTCGACTAAAAAATCGGTGTTCAGATTTGAATGCCAGATTAATCTAGAGGGAAAACCATGAAGAAAAATCCTATATCATATATATATTTTATTTTAGAAGCTATATGTCAAGTTTGGTGACTCTAGTTCCTATTATTTACCTAAATTGCCCAAAAAACAGGATATCGATATCGATTTTTATCGATTGCTTGGAAACGGAGTAAGTTATCGTTTATCGGTAACAAACTCGATCTGCGAGGGAGCTAGGAGCATCTACATCTAAAATTTGAAGTCTCTAGCTCTTATAGGTTCTGAGATCCTTCCGTTCATTCATACGGACGGACGGACGGACGGACAGACAGAGGGACATGGCTAGATCGACTCAGCTATTTATGCTGAGCAAGAATATATATACTTTATGCGGTCGGGTTGCTTCCTTCTGCCTGTTACATACATTTGGCTTTCGCACAAATACAATATACCCTTATACCCATTTTTAATGGGTTCAGAGTATAAAAAAGGGACTTTTTGTATATACAGTTGTAATGGAATGCCGTTGTGTGTACAATAAAATATCAACCCGATAATATTAGAAATATTTTGCCAGCTCTGGCAAGTCAAGCGCTTATCAGTTTGATTCGCAATAGCTAACGCTCATTAACATAACATAACAAATTATTCGTAACTTTTCATATTAAAAAAAAATAAATGAGATTTAGTTGCGCTTTGGACTTAGCTTTAAGCGGTCGCCCAAAAAAAATCAAAGTTCTGCCAAACATGGCGTACAGCACACAGAATGTGATACTTTTGTTGGTCTTTCTGCTAGCTGTGAGAGGGCCTGTATGTTTGCATATAATATATAAAATTCCAAGCGAATGGACTTATCAGAAATACAAATTCCATTTCTAGTCCACAGTGGAGCCGCAACAGAGCAGAGACGACCAATCGTATAAGATTAACCGGACTCAAGCAATGCAGTCGCATATAGAAAACAAATCTACAACTCAGAGTTCCAGCGCAGGTTCAACAGGCAACACGCCCAAATATGCAAACAGCAATAGGCAATTAAGTACTCTTCTACGTAGATTATCATACCATCTGGAGAGGCAAAAGGATGCCATGAAACGGCAGGAGGCAGACATAATAAGACTTCAAGATGACAAACGCGCATTGGCAAGGGAATGCGATCAAAATAAGCGCTATATAGATGAGCTGATCGCACAAATATCAGAGTTGAAATCTAAGCTAAGTGCCGAACAATCCAGCATGGAACAACTAAAGCAGTGCGCACCCAGGAATTGTTTGGCCTTGGCCAAGCGCACACAACAAGTGGGAGCTAGTCATGTGCCAGGCAGGGGCTACATTTCCCCTCCCAGTCAAGATGAATCACAGGCTGACGCCGGCTGGACTGTTATCCAGCGACGCTTAGACGGCAGCGTTAACTTTTATCGCAACTGGAGCGATTATCAAATCGGTTTTGGCAATAACCAAGCCGAGTTCTTCATAGGTTTGGAGACCCTGCACCACTTGACGAGCGCCAAGGAGCATGAGCTGCTTATCAGACTAACGGATTTTGCGAATGAAATCCGCTTTGCGCAGTATAATCAGTTTTTAGTGGGCAACGCCCAAGAGCTATATGAACTGAAATCTCTGGGCAATTACTCAGGTAATGCGGGCAACGCTTTGATCTATAACCTGCACCAAAAATTCAGCACATACGATCGTGATAATGACTACGATGAGGACAATTGCGCTGAAGACATGCACAGCGCCTGGTGGTATCGCGCTTGTGGCGCCAGGTGGGTACGAGTATTACGAAAAGAGAACTATATTGTTCAAGTATTTCCTTACATACTTTTAGTGACCTCAACGGAGTGTATGTGAAGCAAAGTGTACCTGATTACCATGCGGATAAGGGCATACTTTGGGCTGGCTCAGACTGGCACGACTGGGAGTATTCATTCAAATCTGTTACCATGATGATTAGACCGAAATTAGTATCGAGAAATTAAAGTGATATTAATAAACTGTTATTAGTTATCTGCTCAGTAACATTAACTTTACTTTTAGATAGCTTGTAACTGCTAACATAATATTCCTTTTAAAATGTGAATGTGCCCAACACAATAAATATTATAGCTGATTTATGGCATGTTAGCAAATTAATCACAAGGACTTTGACTAAACCACAGCAAAGGAAAGCAACTGTAACAAATATCAACATCAGAGCTTGAAGAGCAAACCAGTTCATATAGAACAGTTCCCGGCTATAATAATATATGTATTAGAAATTAGGCTACTACAAAAAGAAAAACAAAATTTTATTGAAAACAAAAGTCAACTTAATAGACTTACAAAACTATAATGTTATGATAGATATAAACAAATACAAGTCTACAAATGAAAACAACAACATATAACTGAATGGATCTACTCGTGTCGATTGAGTACCCATTTTAGATGGTACAGCATTAACGAGTAGTTTGTTATGATTTGTTTTTTTGTTTGTTTTTATTTTTTGTATTTTGTTTGCTAGTTTTTTGCTTTTTATTGAAGTATGAGTTTGATTATACACACAATATGAATTAAATATAAATATTAAGTGAATACTTTGGATTTTGTTCTATGCTAAGCTTATGAATTAGGATGATCTGTGAAAATGTTATTTAATAATATAGGCTCTGCCTAAATATATAATAGTTTATGTATAAATGTTTATCAATAATAGCATTTGTACATGATAGTTAAGCAAAATCTCTTTCATCATTTGCCAAACAATTTGGCAACGGATGGAAATTAATTTTATACAGTTGAGAGTTTACAAATTGGCAATTTGTGAGGTTTTACAAATACGTCAACATATGGTAACATGTATTTGCAAAAGCGCACAAATTGGCAAACGCTTTAGGCTTAATTTATGGGTTATAACACTGGTCGAATTAAGGACTTTAGTTACAGCCGCAAAAACAAAAACAAGCATAAGCCTGACTGTAAAATTGTAGGCCTAATAATTGTTTGTTTTAGGGTCTGTTTTGAGAGAAAAAAGTCAATATTACTCTGCTTTTCGACAAAAAAATATGTGTAAAAACAAATAAATGTGTACATGTAGAATTTTTGTAAAGCAGAGCGACATCAAGTTTTGCATGGTAAATTTTACAAGCAACCGCAGAGTTGCTGGTAAAATTTATCAATTTGGAATTTACAAATATTTCGTTAGTAGCTTATAAATTTCATGGTTAAAGGTGGATTTCATTGAAGGTGTCTCTAGATAATTTGTTTTTGTTTTTCTTTAAACAATTAATTTTACGTTTTTTCGTGTGGTTGTTGTTGTTTTTTTTTTGTGTTTGTTTTGTTGTTGTTGTTAAGAACTAATCACTTAGTTTATGGCATTTCTCACTAGAGAAATCTAAAAAGTTTCATATAGCTCGATACTTAAATGCTTAGTCGCTATTTTGTTCTAGTACTAGTACTGGTTGTAGTAACTGGCATTTAAACTAGTTAGACTATTAGTTAATATTCGCAACTTACGCCCTTGCACTGCACAAAAATGAGTACTTAATTTGTATAAAAAATGTAATGTGAAAGCTACTTAAAATGTTAGCCATCGAAATGTGTACAAAAAATTACGTATTTTGTTTGCAGTGTTATAAAAAATTTAAAAATAATATTACAAATACAAATTGCAAATTGAGTTTTCGCTTTCGTTTTTCTTTTTGGTGGCGAGTAGGTTGCAACTACTCTCGCTGGGATGCGGCGCACAGCAGCCGACTGAGTTTAATTGTGACGCGTACGCTTCAGCTGGCAACCAAATAGAGCTGTACTCGAGCTGGAGCTGGCGTTGCTGCTGCCGCTGCCGGAGCTGGTGCGCATACGTTTGGCGGGTGAGATTTTTTTGGGCGCTTGGGCCAGACGCTTGCGCTCCTTCATGAACTCTGCAAGAAGAGAAAGAACCAGGAAGCACGTGAGTAATTAAATAAATACAAATAATTCTGTCTGTCCGGATTAAAGTCAGCTGGCATTCGAGCTACCCCCAGTTTGAGCATCAGTCACTGATATAATTGTCTAAGGGCATAATAACAGCAGGCGCCGCCTGTTTTTGCACATTTTGATTTTGAATTGTGGCACGTGGCTGGCTGGCCAGGGGTTGCTGCCACACAGGGGTAGCAAATAGTGAATGAAAACGAGAGACGCTGCCTGCTGCTCAGGTAGTGAACGCTGCATGGATCTTGCATAGGCTGCATAAATTACACGCCCTGCCAACTGGGCAAGTTTCTAGGCTTGGCTGCACAAAAGTACAGCTAGTCCAACAAGGCTGCGCCACGGCCCATGCGGGCTGTCCAGCGCAGACACTTCTCTACAGTTTTTTATTATTATGCTAATAACTATGCCAAGTGGCAAGAGAAAAAAATGTATTATACAAAAGCAATCAGCGGCCGTTGATAAGTGCTGCGCTTTGATGGCGGCGCATTGTGCGCTCCCGGCTCCCCTCTCTCCACTCTCTCTATCGCTCCATCTCTCTCTCCTCTTGTCGCTGTCTCTAATGAGGTCAACCGAAGGCGTGGAGGGCTGCCCAAAAGCAGAGCCATGCACATCTGTTAACATTTACAGCAACCCGCATGCAATGATCGCATTTGGAAATCAACCCCCGCGACGCAGGCGCAGAGACGCAGGGATGGATGTTGCGTGCATTGACTCTAAGCCAGCGGCAAGGGGAGGGAGAGCGCTGAGTGATGAAAAAAAAAACAGCTGCAACGATCGGCCCTCTATAACGTAACCCCTTGACTAAATCACATAAAACAAAACTAATTATATGCCTAGCAGCATTTGGTAGAGCCTGCTATTATGGTTTTTCGAGAACAAGAAACAACGCCCACGCGGCAGTTAAAGAAAAGGCTGCGCCCATGGGAATCAATCTGGCTGCATGCTATAGGAGGCTAGCTTTAATGGGGTAGGGGTATGTAGTTTCACAATTCCACTTTGTCGGAAAAGCAGAGTAGAGCCTGGAATTCTTCTGAGAGCTGAATTGACATTTAAGCTTTTTGTAGCATGATAGCTTTAATAAATAACTTCCTGAATCAAGAACTAAACCACAACTTTATATAAAGTTTATGAGTAAGAATTGGAAATATTGAAAGAAAAATTATCAACAAATTACAAATTTATTAATAAATATTTCCAAATGTTGGGCTGGATTTTGTGTATATAAAATTTTCCTATTACGAATATTAGGTTATTTTAAGAAGTATCTTTAAAGAGCTTGAGGCTGGGGTTGGATTGTTGCCCACTAAACGGTTACAAAAAGCGAAATTTGTGGGTTATGGGAAATAAGTTTTGTAATGGTCGAAATGGTTTTTGTGCAATCAGGTATAACGCTGGGAAAGAACACGCTACGGGAACGGCAGAAGGAAAACAGAAAAGGGAAACACGCAACTCACCTGTGATTTTGAGCTGTCGCTTGCGTTGCTGCGCGGGCGAATTGCTGTTGGCGGAGGACGAGGAGGAGGCGGTCAAAGCGGCGGCCGAAGTGGAGGCGACCACGTTGCCGGTGCCGCTGCTGCTGGTGAAGCGATATGGCAGCGACTCATCCTGTGAGTCATACTCGGTGTCTGTGTTGGAGTCCAGCGAAGAGTTGGCCAAATTCTCGCGATCGGCGCGCTCATTGAGCAGCACATCCATGTCGCTGGCCGAGTCATAGGTATCGGGACGCACATGCGCGGCACGGGTGAGTGTGTACATTTGCGGCGCATAGTCCGATTCCTGTGTGCTGACGCGCTCCCAGATGTAGCTGGCATTGGTGGCCAGCGGGCGATCGCTACGAAAATCAAAGCCCCATTTCTTTGTGGCCAACTCTTGATGGCGTTCCAGTTCTGCGCTAAAGGAGCTGCAGGTGAGAAATACACTTTTTAATATTTTGACAATTTTACATTAAATTAACATGATTTGATCATGATTGAATTTTTACTCACGGTTTGGTCTCCACCAGCGGCGTCTGTGCTGCACCGAAGAGATTTCGCTTAATGCGTTCCAATTGAGGGCCGCAGGGTGAATTGCGACTGACGGCGGGACTGAAGCTCATCTTGCAGAATTCACTGCGCACCACCGGATGGAGCATGCGTGCACTGACCATGTTTTTGTTGTTGTTCGTTTGGTTGTTTTATTTAAAATTTGTTTGTTTCGTTTCTATTTTTGTTGCCTGTGTTTTGGACTGCGATGCGACGCAGTTTTGCTGCCTACACTTTGGACACTTGTTTGCGAATCGCACGACTAAGCGAACTGTCAAAGTTTTGGCGCCAAAAAGTGTTGGTTTTTTGCACTCGCCTGTACGTAGTCGCTGCCCAGCGCTAAAGAGGGGCGAACTCACTAATACACGCTTACACAAACATGCACATACACACGAGACACAAGTCTCCAAATCTCGTTTCAGTTGCGCCTGTGTATGCGTGTCTGAGCGTAAATGTTCGCTTGTGTTGGTGCAGTCTTTTTGTATTTTCTTATACACTCGCTTTAAAAGTGAAATTCGTATTTGTTGTATTTGACGTGTATTTGTTTAGAAATATGATATAAACAAATTCGTTGTGTATTGTTTTTATGCACTTGCAAACGCCTTTATCGCTGTTCTTATTGGTCACGTAAAAAACCAACTCACTCAAATCACAAAAAACTGACGAGTCGGGCACTCACAAATTGAGACAATTGCGAAAGACGCGTTCGTTTTGTGTGTTTGCACGTCGTGTTCAGTGTACTATTGCTTTTACAACTTAAGTTGTAAGATCTTTTATATATTTAACAAGTCGCGTTTTTTTAATTTATGTTTTTTAGTGAATGTTTTGTTAGTTTGCCTTGAAGTGCGCAATGCGAACGCACTTTTCGACTGAGCTCAACGAGCAGAATAACAAAACTGAACGTAAGCAAACGGGTAAAAATGATATTTATACGCGGATATCTTTGCGCTCAGAGAGCGCTCAAGTTACTCTCTTGGTGTCGCTCGCAGACAGTGCTGCACGCGCTCGGTTGCCATGCGATAACGAAAAAACGGCTAAGACAAGCTAAGCGTGCGGTGTTGTAGTGGGCACGGCTAGAAACAGAGGGAAACGGCTGTTAAATGTTAAACAAAGACGCGTATATATTTTACAGCTATTAATTTTATAAAATCTGACTAATTATAACTTTTTATATGCTGTAGATTATAATATTAGTTTTGAAATTTTAATATATAGAGAAATATTCAAAGGTTGTCACAAAATAGCTAAAGTTCTTGACATAGCCAATTTTTGGCTAGATCTGTTGAAAACAAGAACAAACAGTCGACACTGCACTCAAATCAAGTTTTTCGTTCAATAAGTCGGAGAGCAACTGAGAGGCAGTGAGAGTAAGAACAACCACAAAACCAAACGTCAAACAACCACCGCAGCGTTGCCATACAACGACGTACTGCAGTGACGACACAACAGCAACCCTCGAATTCAAAACGATCGAAGCAGCGCCTTGTTGTTCTCAAATGCTCTATTTAAAACTAGGCATATAGATTTGCCCATGCGGACAGAAATTTTAGATAATGTAGCGCACTTCGAACTTAGCCAAACTTAATCAACAGCGCGCTAGCAACTGCTTAAACACTTTAATAGCTAGCAAAATATTAATTACCTCTGAAAGTTAAATGATCGAATTGCTCATATGAAAAACTATATTTAAGGACATGCACTATTCGGCTTGCGGAAATATCCAAGCGTCTCTGCTTGTTGTTGCTGCGCGAGTTGGAGCTGTACTTTTGGTTTGAATGCGATGGGTAGATAAAAATGTTTTGGCTTCGGTTTGTTTAACCTGAAACTGGATTTTTGTTTTTGTATTTTTGTTGCCGAGTCTGAGAGTCAGACAAATTGGATTTAGGGCGGCAGCGCAGACGGTTTCCAACAGTTTCACTTTCCTATTGTAACTTGGGGCCATCAAATGAAAATGTGGGCCAACTTTTTGAAAAGTGCATTAGAACATACGGAATAGGGTGTAAAGATAATTTACCGCTATGTTCGACACGCAGCCGTTACTTGGAGAGCATGATTCAAAAAATATACAACAATTTCCCAAGCTTTGCTATTTAAGTGCAAAATCGTAAAAAATTAAATTACATTGCCAGGGCAATAAAAAACGATTTATATTGTTTGCACAAATGCAATTAAAGTGCACAAAAAGCGAGAAAAATATTAGAAAAAGAAAAAGTCAACCCGCTTCGGAACTAAAGACATCATTTGCTTTGTACCTTTGCACTGCACACAAAAACTCGAATAAAAAGCAAACGTTTGGTTTTTCAAACGTAAAAAAAAGAAATACTCACTGTAATTAAATAACCCTGCCTCGAGTGCAATCACCCCAAAAAGGCAGCAAGGAAACGATCTATCGATCGATTAGGCAGCCAAGATCGAGCCTTGACTCGCCTCCCTATCCCTACCAAGTGATAAGCAGACACACCGCAGAGTTCTGTTTATGGGACACACCCTCCTAAAAAAACTGAAGAGAACAAAAAAAAAAAAAAAAAATAGAAGAAATATATAGGAACGTAAATTTACACACTTTTTAACAAATTTGGAAAAATTCTGCCGGCGTTGAGTTGCGGCAGTCATGCCTGAAACATAAACAACTCAAGATCCTGTAGTAAAGGGGGCCGATGGATGGCGAGAGTTCGTGATCCTTTTAAGTAATTTCCTCAAGTTGACGATGTCTTTACAGGATGTAGTGAAAATATATATGGGTTGCATTTTGCTGTGTAAACACACGGAAAAAAGGCGTCGAATTGTGCAGGAAAATATAAAAGAGGTAGCATAACAATGGGGTGTACTTCAAGTGGTGCTTATAATCCTTTATAAGGGCAGCCCATTAAAGGATTGTCCAACGTTGGAACGTGCGGGTATTAGATGCACATTTGTTTATACAAAGAGAAATTGGCCCTTAATGCTGGTTGACTAACAGAATGCAATAGAAACTTAGTCTTATGTTCAGAACATCCGATAATTAATTGGATTTAATCAATAACTCTTAGTCTTATAGAGTATGCCCTCTGATAAGCGCTTAGGACGGACTTTTATTGCGCTATGCCTCGATAAGAGGCACAAACAATGCCCAAGTTGAAGGTCGCCATTGTCGGAATATTATTATCTCATTGGAAAACCTCAACGGACACTGCATAAAATATACGTTACACTCATTTCAAATGCAGCACGCCTTATCGCGCCGAGCGGAACATAAAATCAACAGACACCCCACCCCCTGCCCACGGGGCAACATAGAATACCACTAAAAACTTGACTTAGTATATGCCACGTGTTCCACGACGGCCTAGCGGGAGGTATTCCATGCCCAACGTAGTGTTCAGGCAGCGTGACTGTCGAAGTAACGTTCCAAAATGCCATAAGATATATTTCTCTATATATAGCGCTCTGTTCCGTAAGGAAATTGCCATAAAATTGTTTAGCTCACGAACTGTGACCGCAAGCTCAATTTCAACTGAGATACTCGGGGGCAGGTGCGCTATGGTTAAGGATATTTTTCACGTTTCAAGGGTTTGCCACGAACTTATTCGCATAATACAGCGGAAGTGTTCCCGATGGGGTGTAATGAAGTCTAACAGTCTATGGGAAAATTGTTTTTATTCATAAGTGAACTGCAATTGAGGTGCTTTTTAGGGCAAGTTCTGCATAAGGAAACAGAAAATGGCATATTTTCCATTAACGGATCAATTATGTGCTGCGGTGCATTAGATTCATTTAGTTTTTAGTTTTAGCCATAGAAAGTTGATATTAACGAGAGAGTTTTAAATCAGCTGCATACATAGTTTTATAATTTCCTGCATTAGTTTTATAATTCCCAACTTGTGCATGTTGCTTGAATAGTTTGATAGATATGTATATAATTGACAAATTTCGTTTAAGAGTTATTCTTCAATAGATTATTTTAAGCTATTTTATTTTTCCTTGTCTCTCAGACTAGTATAATCTGCAAATATGTAATCCTCTAACTAATCAAACCCCTCAGAGCTACATTTATCTAGGTCTCAGCACGTTTCTTGCATATCTTCCTCTCCATAATTTCCAAATTGTGTGTTCTACTTGAGTTGTTTGATAGATTTCTATATGATTTATGAATTTCGTTCATGATTTGATTTAAACCTTACCATAAGATCAATCCTCTAAGATCTACATACATTTATCTTAGTCCCAGCATGCTTCCCTGCATATCAAGTTCTTCTTCTTTTTGTTAGAATTGTGTGATTTCCTTCAACTCGGAATCTCGTTCGTATGATCGCTGAGATTTCTAGTTGCTGAACCCTCGGTGAATGACCAATCATTAATATGAAAAACTATTCACAGTCTCAGGACATTTACAAATGACTTGTGGCTTATCTTGGGGTTTTTCACCTTCGGACAAATTGCTGCGGTCAGTGCCAGAGTTTTGTTTGACAGTTAAGATCAGCTTTAATAAATGGTTAGATGAGCCATATTGATGGGTTTTCAAATGCAATGCAAATACGAAAATAAAAAGGCTAAATATGTGTATGCAAATATTTAAACTGGCTACCGTTACAGAGAAAATCCTTTTGGCTACTGTGCTACTTGCCAGAATGCAAGGACAATCATCATCAATCAAGGGCCGCACACTTGTGCCAGCGAGATAACCAGGTTTCAGGGCCAGGCCGAAATGACAACTCATTTCACTTTATTGGAACAACCTACTAGATAAACACACACAGAGCGAGCGAGAGAGAGAGAGAGAAAGGGCGAGGTTATCGGACTGGGAACGTCCTACTTGCTGGCGTGTTTTCTTGGTAAACGCGTGGAAAAAACGCAGCATGATTGCAGCAGGAGCAGCAGCAGCAGCAGCAGCAACAGGGGGTGCATGGAAAACTAGTTTTATCAGCGCTCTCCCCAGCAAAAAAAAAGAGAGAAAATAAAATTATAAATATTTATGGAAATGCATTTGCAGCAAAAACAAACAAACAAAGTCAAGCGACAAAATCTTAAAAGGTAACATAGGTCAGCATTTTGGTGTTTGCCCCAAAACTTCAGACTGTATCTGTATCTATGCTCCTGTGTATCTTTGTATCTTTGGCCTGTCTGTTTGCCTAGTCTATCAGCTGCATTAGCTGAGGACAGACTCTCGCCATGCACCTACCCCAACGTGAAAGACAAAAACAACAACAGAAAAACTCTGTACTTCTTTGGATGCATAATAAAACGATTTCAATGCCCCAGGGGCAACGTTTTCTCGACTGCCACGACTGTATAAATAATAATAAAATGCATTTATGACTCTGATTTTTGGTGAGAAACGGCATAAAAAACACACGTTGGAGCATTGAGAAGACGTCTTGGGTTTCCCAAAATCCTTTCAGGAAACCTTTTACTCAACTCTAAATGCGCAACGAAAACAGGTTGAGAGCAGGCGATGAAGAAAAAATTAAGAATCGGGCGAGGCTCTCGTTGAAGCGACTGCTCGACTCTAAGATACCCAGTTTTCAGAAATCATGTATGCCGAGTCTCAAGTAACTTTTGTGTTCTATTTGCGATTGGCTTACAATTTTGGTTAGCTAAAACACACGTATACAAAAAATCAAAGTGATTTCTGTAAAAGTCCTCCGGCTATATGAATTCTTTTATGATATTTCGGAAACGGATTAATTATTATCTATTCGTAAAGATATACAGATAAACTAAAATCCTAAGAATTTGTACCGCATGTATGTCAAAAATCATATTTCCTGAATGGATTGTTGCCTAAACCTTATTTTTCATCGTATATAGCTTAATTGATACAAATTTGATAGACCTTGTAGTCTCCCGAGTTCAAGAATACCATTAAGAGATTTGAAATACTAATGGCCTGTTTCTGCATTATTTACAGGGTAGAGAATACAATCGAATGCTAGGTAGTTAGGAGTGGCGGCTTATAGACGCTCAGACAGTCCGGCTTGTGGGTAGACACAGGCAGGTAGATAGATTGGGGGCAGTCAATCACAACAACGCCGCGCAGTCGCAGACAAATTTATTAGAGGGACCAGAGCGTGACCCTTTTTTTTTGTATTATTTTTCTTTTTATTATTATTGAAACCAAACTGAAGAAACTGATGAAAATAAAGGCAGAGGAACGCAAAACACGTGTACAACTACAGTTGAGTTCCAGTTTTCAGGATGGTTTTTGTGTTGTTGTGTATTTCTTGTGTCAGTTCTGATCGCCCCCGGATTCCGGCTGTGCGTCGTTGTCTTCGCTCTGATCGCTTCGTGTATCCCACAATGCGTATTTCTTGCCCACCGTTTGCTGCCACAGGCGAAGCCCGCCATCGGCCGCCGATGAGGCATAAACCTCGCCATCGGGACTGTACTTGATGCAGTGCATGTGGCGTTCGTGGGCATTGAACGTCTCCAGGATTTCGCCCGTGGCATAGTCGCACTTGTAGATGCAACGATTGCTACCAGCGCACACGTACGTCTTCTTCTCGGGATGCAGTGATACACCGATCAGACGGACGGGCAGCTTGCGATGCTGCAGCACCTCAAAGCGATCGACATCGAGAAAGACGACACTGTGGCCATAGGCAATCGTCACGGTGCGTCCGTCGGCGCACAGCTCCACCGACTTGGCATGATGCGGCAGGGCTATGGAGTGCGCCTGCCGACCGCTCAGTCGATCCCAGAGACGTATGGAGCGATCGTGCGAGGAGGAGAGCAGCGCGCGGTCATCACGACAGAAGAGCACATCGCGCATGCCGCGCGTCTGTCCCTCAAAGAAGGTAGGCATATCCGGCTGCTCGAGTGTGTACAGATAGAGCACCTTGTCGGTGCGATGGCCAGTCTTGCGATCCAAACAGCCCACGGCCAGATATTCCGAATTGGCGCCCAGCGCCACACAGCGTACGGGTGAGTTAAGCATAATCTTTGTCAGTTGCTTGCCGTCGACTGCATTCCAGATGCGCGCCGTGCAATCCTCGCCGCCTGTGGCCAGCCGTGTCGCCTCTCCGTTGATGTCCACGCTGAGAATCGGCTCGCCGTCCTTTTCAAAGGTGCCCACCCAGTCACCGGTGTCGCCATGACGCAACATCGCCTGCCCATCCTGGCTGGCCGAAGCCAAGTAGTAGCCCGATTTGCAGACCTTGCTGTAGGCCAGCTGGACCACATCTCCCTTGTGGCCCACACAATCCACGGGCAATTGTAGGTTTGACATTGTCATTTCAGGCTATTTCTAAAATTCAGAAAATGTTTAATTTTTTTAATTAACTCGATTTAGTACGGCTTTCAACGCGTGTGGAAAACTTGTCCGGATATTTATTTGTTGAAAAAAATTGTAAAACTTAAAATGATCGCTAAAACATGGCTAGCTATTGTATTAAGAAAAACTAACTTAAAAGTTAATGTTTTACGGAAAACTGGAGTAGCTCTCCGGAAATTAATGAAATACAATTATTTCCTATTTCTAAAATACGATTAATTAAGAGCAGGAAAACCCTTTTCCATATACATACATTAATCAAATAATTGAAAGCAATATAAAATTTGTATATATATTATATTATATATATAATTAATGTTTTAAGTGCTAAAAACCATTCCCAAAGGTTTCCCGGAAGAAGCTGAATATTCTTCAGAACCGAAATTTAAGTAAATGCTAAATCTGTTTAAATCTGATTCAGCTGATTCTACATATTCTAAAACTTCGTATTAATAATATTATATATTAATTTTTTACATATTTTAAATAAGTGTTTATGTGCTATACAGATTTCCTAGATGACTTTTGGATAAAGTAGATCTACGGATCAGAAATAGAAAACTTTATAAATCTGTTTCAGTTGATTCTAAATATTACAATAATATTGGGTTCATAATATTTAATATTAAATTAAATTTATTTCTATGTATAAAGATGTTTGCAAGGTAAACTTGTTGGTTTTTCAAAAAAAATCAGGAAACTTCTCCTGTTTGAGCTTTACCAAGCTCCTAACATATAAGCGATATCTTAACATCTTATACATCATATTATATATTAAAGTTCTGTAGGTAGAATCGGACCAAAAATTGTGTGGAAAAGTTTGTTGTTTTCAAAGATACCAGGACTAGCATTTACCAACTTCACTTTTCGTCTCACATATCTGTAAAGTCGTGAAGGATATTTATACGTCGGCTTGCTTTAGCTTTGCCTCACTTTATATAAAATATCTCACAACTTATTAAGCAAATCCTAAGATAATTCAGAATTTTCATGCTCCCACAACTTGCTTGCATGAATTTCTCTTAAGGTCCTTGTTAATGCAACTTTGTACAGGACCTGCAGCTACTTATGCTATGCATGTTAGTCGACTGTGAAGAAGACAAGCTAATTAGCATTTAGGATAGCTGCTTCCTCTTGTACTCTAGCTAAGTACATTGTGTGGCAGGAATTTTTGGGAAATCCGTTTTAATTTCCTCAAATATTTTCACATGACAAAGGGCTAAGCGAGGTTTTCAGCTGTGAAAGCGAAATCGAGTCAATTTGCGGGCGTGTTTTGTGTTAGTCTTGCGGTTGCCACAGACAATTGGCCAAGAAGCGGGGCTCACAAGCAGGTAACATCAGCTGAAAGTCAGGCGCATTGTCTTCTTTGTGTGTGTGAGTGGCACAGGTGTCATCATCCTGACATACACACACACCAGCACACAGAGAAATCCTCTTGGCGTAAACCACTTAAAGGCAGCGCACGCGCTTCCCAAATTCCTCACATGTCGCCGCCTCCGGCGGGCGAAGAGAACGCCCGACGTCTGCCGCCTTTGTTGGCAGCCTAATGAAAGCAAAACGTTCTGAAATATGAATTGAATCTTCTTGAGTGCATTTAATAAACATTACGCTTTTGTAGTCAAGACCCTAGCACCAGCTACTGTCCTGCTTGCGGCGCCTTTAGCTTACCTTGTTAATATCCTGCTGCCAGCACCGTTTGGCTTCCTGCTGCCAGCCAAGTTTGCGCGTAGTTTGCATTCAGCTGCGGGCCAAAAAAGAAAATATATATAAGTTATATATACACGTATATATGTGCGCCGTATAATATCCGCCGAAACGTTTAACTCGGATTAACAAGCGATGACTGATACGACGGAACTCTGTTAGCTGCTCAAAGGCGCATCCTTGAGTCTGTGTGCTTTTTATTAAATTAGAAGAGATGCAGCCAAGTGTGGGACTCCGACTTCGACTTTTGCGGGTGGTGGGGGACTGCATAATAGGATTGGGTTTGGCTTTTCGATATGCTGAGCTGGGAGCTGAGAGCCGAGAGCTGACAGGCTCAGTTGAGATTATGTGTCAGGAACAAGAGCAGAAGGTGTGGAAGAGGCCCGCAGATATACGCGCGTTTGGAGATCTTTTGTTAGCAGCACATGACAGATTTTTACTTCTAATGTGCTCCTCGCAGTTATTTGGGCTGCAAAAGCATAAATAAAATCAAATAACTCGGTTCAAGGTTTGAACCATGGAAAAGTGTGAGCGCGAACTTTGAATCGGGCTCATGCTCTGAGGAAACAATATTAGGAAAATTCTAATTCAGTGCGGGTGACGTTTGGGCTGTTTATGTAGCTCCCGATTGGGTTTGGGATCAGATTCATGGTAAAATATCAATTGGAATATAAAATATAAAAGGAAGGAGTCAAAACATGCTTATAGTCTTATCTTAGTCGAAGATGAACAAGAATAACATCAATTATGCATTTTCTATTATTTGATATCTCAAATTCAAGCAACCTCATAATTTCCCACACCCTTGTAGCTTGTGACCCACTGTTGCAACTTTCGCTTTTCGCATCTGTAGCCAACGGACAATGCCTCAAAACAGACCCAAACAGTGCCCGAGAGCGAGGCATCATCGACAGCCGTTGGGTAGAGTCATTAATGGACACATTAATAATAATTAGTACAACTTTAAAACTCTACACGAACTCTACTTGAAATAGCGCAAGTCATGCTATTAATGATAGTTGTCTTCTATCAGTTTTTCCTGTTTGTTGCTTTCGTTGAAATCGAAAGTAAGTTAAAACGGGGCGTAGTCCAAAAGTGCTCGGGGACACTTGAAGCGGAAGCGCTGCTTCATTTGTCAGTCCGTCAGGCAGTCCGGAAATGAAGCAACGCGAACGGCAGAAAGAACCTTAACATCAACATCATCACGTTGGGTATATGGGCCTGGGTGTGGAAACTGAAACAACTGAAAAAATTGGCTATCGTCAGCGGAAGTCCAACGAAAATTTTAGCGCTTGCCATCAAAATATTTACAGTACCTCATAAAGTTGCACACTTTATGACAACTCAGCGACAGAATATATACATACTCATATATATAAAATTCTGTACTGTTTCGTATGTAATTGCATATAATTTTTATAGAACAACGAGAAATCAGCAAGGGGTAAGACAGCAGCAGCAGGAGCAGCAGGAGTGGCAATAGGAGCAGCAGTCGGAGCCACACCCATTGATAATATGCTACCTTTCAGGGAGGACAGTCTAAATCAATCTGATTCCCAGTCTCTAGAAATTTTTGCTGTGCGAATGTGTCAAGACAAATCAATAAACTTCTAATTTTATTACGGTGCAAGGCAGGCATCTATTGGTACGTTACAGATACCGATCTGTCAATTTCTATTGTCAATTTGACAATTGATATCTCACACATCATTTGGCTCGAGTGCGCACAATGAGATTGTTTATGTCGTCCAAAGGGGGTCGGGGTGGGTAAATGCCGCGAGTTGCAAAACGTTTTACCTCCAAGCGCTACGAAAATATATTCCAATCGAGGGTTTTCTCTGTGCCCTGCCAGGTATCAACTTTCTTGCCTTTCTCCCTGTTCGGGGATTGTGCGCTGTGTACACATTTTGCGGTTTTTGTATTTTCTTTTCATTTTTTTTCGGCCCTAACATACAGAAATTGGCATCATTTCTGCTGGCATTTTGTCCACTTAACGCGTTTCTGGTCAGAGTTCAAATATGGGTCCATTGATTCTGCGTTGATCCTACATTGATCTTCCATTGACTAATGACATTCCCTTTGCATAATCCTCATCTTTGCGTCTTGTGGGTCACCGAATTTTGTACTGGTCGAGTGTGCGGCTTTGTGGCTAGTAAGTGAGAGTAGAAGAAAAGATTGTGGTCAGTTCAAGGCGGTTCTTATGCGGCACGAGCTGAGCGAGACAAGGAGCTTAGCCCCAGTTAGAAGGTTGTGTAGGAGATATGTACCAAGAGCTTCCTCTACCTTCCAAAATATTGAACAGTTAATTTTATATTATATTTTTTTATTCTTTCTCTTATTCCATTACATAAGCAAATCTCCCATTGACGATTCCATATAAAGGTTTTAACAAGAAAAGCAGATAGACCAATAGATAGACATGGCCTATATAAGTGTACAGTTGTCTTTATTACGATTATATATGTTTTATACTTTTAGAAACATAATATTGACACGTTTTCCAGAAGAATAAATATCACTCAGCTCAATAGCTTATTTAGTGAAACTTTCCTAACGGATGTTCCGGATAATCCTATAAATTAAGTCACACCCATTTCCTTCTAGTCCTCCTCTTGAGCGTAAAAAATTACCCGACGCTCTCTGTTCATTCAAGAGAGTTTTCACTGTCTATACAAGCACAAAATATTTTTCTAAAATTTCATTTGCCAGCCTTTTTAATATAATCTGAAATTTCGAACTTGTGCTGAACTTTGTGTAGGCCAGCAACATTCCATATATCCTATATAGTATTTTCAATTATAAATATTTTCAACCTATGGCTAATCACATCATAAAATGTCAGTAGGGTGTCAGCCAAACTTTTCCCATAGCCAACGATTATCCCTTGTAAAACTCATGTAAGCCCCGACTAAATTATGCAAAAAAAAAAAAGATGGAAAGGAAAGCAGAACACGCTCTACATCATGTTCTCAAGTGATCAATCCCAAAAAACAGATTTCTGACACTTGAAAGAGAAGAGAAAGGGCGGCAAGAGAATTGCAACCAGTCGCCGGATTCGCCATGGCTGTCGCATCCAGAGAAACTTTCACTGATCTCAACGGACGCGCACATATCAATCAAAGTTCGTCACAGTGTCGGGAATTATGTCATTCGCTTACTCAAATTGCAAGACTGATGGAATGCCGCATGATGGAATGACGGTTAAAACTGATTTGCATAGACTATGTGCAGGCATTTGAGCAGATGCGGCTCCGAATTTTCACGCCGCACAGCAAGAAAAACCCAAAAGGTGGTTGGAAAAACTTGAGACGTTACCATGAAAATCCTTTAAAAACTTTAAGTTTTTTTCGATGGCATTTCTCT